CTCATTGCTCTTGAATAAGTATCTGCTATGGAAACATTTTACTGGATCCTCTCAGGACCCTTGCGAGATGGGGATCATGGTCCTCATGTTGTAGATGAGGGAACTGAGGCCCCAGGTCTACTGCTTCTACAGGGTGCCGTTAGGTATTGGCCCAAAGCATCGAGCTCCAGCGTTTAGGTGTGTTCTATTGACCCCAAGCTGCCCGAGGTGGTAGAAGAAGCACATTCAAGTGTGTAAAGCTGGTCACTCTCTGAATTCATGGACGTCGGCCTGAGGTTGACCATTCATGGACCTTTTTCTGAGATAGCCTAAAATTGACCATCCTCGCTTGCCTTCCAGTTTCAGGTCTGTGCGGCTGCTAAAGAACGACCCAGTCAACTTCCAGAAGTTCTCCTACACTAACGAGGATGAGGCCTGGAAGACCTACCTGGAAAACCCCTTGACGGCCGCCACGAAGGCCATGATGAGAGTCAACGGGGATGACGACAGCGTTGCGGCCCTGAGCTTCCTCTATGATTACTACATGGTATGCTCACCGCCTCCAGGCACGCCCCCTCCGACTGAATGTGTCTTTGCTTTCAGGCCTCATAGCTCAGCAGCTCACCAGGACCACTCCCAGCCCATCACCATGTTCCTTCTCACCTCTGGGCCTTTGCATATGCTGTTCCCTCTGCCTGGCACCCTCCCCTTTCCTCTGGCTAAATCTTACTCTCAGCTTTGGGTCTCAGCTTCAACGCTACCTCATTCACTCACTGCGATGGGGGTAGGTGTTCTTCGGTCTCCCATTCTGTGCCTTCCTCCCTCAGCAACCACTAACATCATCCTTAACTCTGTCTTTAGAGACTTGCTATTTGTGCATTTATTTCTTCGTCTCCCCTGTGAGACGAAGAGGGCAGGAAGAGGGCCTGGAGGGCAGGAACCAGGCTGTGATCATTCCTGAATCCCCAGCACCCTATACTGCCTGCCACATATATTGATTAATGGATCAATGCTTTGGCCACACTCACTCCATCACAGCAATACCCCCAACCTGTCATCTTTTTTCTGACCCTGTTTCTTAGGTCGTCCTAGTTACCCTGTCAGCCCCACCCATCTGTTTGAACCCCACCATCTAGAACATGCCTTCTGCTCTTGAACCCATTCCCTTTCTTCAGAGCCCTGCCCAAGGCCCACCTTTTCTTGGAAGCCATCCTGTCACATCACCTCTCCCTCTCCTGTCTTATCCTTTATACCCTTGCTGCCGTTATACTCATAGTAAAACCTCCTGACGGACCATCTTTGATTATTCTCTAAGTGTTTTCAGGGCCTTGGCCTTGACTCTGGGAGACTGTCCGTTAGGAATTTGGCCCTCCCATATCTGATAGGTGGGCTTGAACCACTCAGCAATCACAAATCCATAACACATGTGACATCACCCCCACCTCCAGTGCCTGGCCCAGACATTGCTAGAGGATTACAGTCTGCGTTGTCATTGAGGGTACATGAGACCACAGAGTCTTTTCAAACCCAGTATTCTAGGCAGCCCCCACCCATTTGTCTGAAATGTCATATACAGCAAACTTGCTCTCTCTCCCTGGGCTGGGCGATTGCTCCAAGAGACTTTCTCAGATTTGAGGATGGAAGACATGAATAGCTAATTGTTGAGATAACTGGCTCTGAACTTAAAGATTTAAAGCGATCTTGTAACTAAGTCCTCAAATTCACTAGCTCAAGAAGTATTTTATCTACCCTGCCACAAAACGGCAGGCAAACTGTAAATTTAGAGGCCAAGGGGGGGGGAAATGGTCCCAGATACGAGAAGACCCCAAATTATCTCCCTGGCTTTGGTTCTCATCCTGGAGTAGTGTGGTTACCCTACCTTACCTCCTCCCCAGCAGTCCGATTGCATCCTGATGGCGTTTGGCCCAGGCTGATGGAAAAGACATTTGAATTGGCTGCCTCAGCTTGGGGACATCGTAGGAGCCAGGAGTCTAGGTCTGGGTTTAAACACCAGCCTGGGGTTTACAGCTTAAGGATGGACCATAAACTAAAATCCAGCACCATCTCTCCTGGTCAAGAGGCCATTTCCAGGGCCCGAATGGTGTGGACAGGCTCTGAAGGTGACACCTGTAGTCATTTACTGAAAGATAGCATCCCAGGGACATACACGCCCCACCCCGACCCCAGAGCACTCTGGATTTGCAGCAGCCCTGTGGGTCATAAGGAAACGGTCTAATAGTGTAGAAAGAGCGCCAAGTTGGGAGTTTGAGACCTAATTCTGCCACAAACTGGAAATGTGGCTTTGGGCAATGTAGTCCTAAAGACGACCACGTACCGTTTCTTACTGAATGCCGGGCCCTGTGCCAGGTGTGATTAAGAGCATACATGTTGGAGTCACTAGACTGGGTTGGAGACCAGGTTCTGGCTTTATTAGCCTTAGGGAGAAATGACCTGGATGCTCTAAAATGCAACATTATAATTCTAATCATGAAAGGTAACATTTATGTAGTACTTTCTATGTGCTAGGTGCTAATCTAAGCACTGACATCAATCCCTAAGGTTGGTATTACTATTAGTATCCCTGTTTTACAGATGAGGACAGTAAGGTACAAAGAGGTTAAGGGACTTGCCCAAGGTCACACAGCTGGTATGTGGCAGAGCTAGGAATTGAACCCCAAAAAAAATCTGGATTCAGAGTCCATGGGGGTGTTATAATTCCCCCATTTGACACGTGAAGAAACTGAGCCTCAGAAAGGTGCAGTCGTTTACCCAAAGTCACAAAGCATTTTTAAGCAGTAAAGCTGGGACTTAAGCCAGGCTTGCCTGACTCCAAATTCCATAATTCCTTACTGCCAATCTTGGGGTACTGCTCCCACCCTCTAACGTGGGGCTCAGACTAAATGATGGCTAGAGCTCCTGCCAACTCGAAATACTGGTGATTTTCTCCCAGTGACCAAGGTTGGTTCCCTGGCCAAGTCCACAGGAGTGGGCTGAGGCCCTTAACAGCCAGAAATACACAAGAGCCATGTATAAATCCTTCCTTCCTCTCCTCTCAGGGTCCCAAGGAGAAGCGGATACTTTCCTCCAGCACCGGGGGCCGGAACGACCAAGGAAAGAGGTGAGGCTCAGCGGTGCCACCATCTCTGACTCTGCCCTTACCTACNCTGAAGAACAAAACGACAGCAACTTGTCTGTTCCCCTTTCCCCAATTCCCCAGCACTGTTCCCATCCCCCCAATTCCCCAATAAAAAAAAAAATCTTAAAAAAAAAAATAGTTGCCACAGTGGCTGCTGATGGGAAACGCTGAAAGCATGGCAGCCGCTGTGTATCAAGGCATCAGACTTTGGGATCCCAACAGGGTGGAATGGAGACTCTTGGAGGCCAGGCAAGCCTCCCAGGGGAACAACAAACATCGTCTGTTCTTTTGTTTCTGGCGTGACTTTATCGTTGTCTTCTAAAAGTTAATTTTTAAATAGGATAAGATAACTGATAGCTCAGATGATGGTCATTCCACCAGTGTCAACAAATTGGGGCTCTCGGCCCAGACATGCCACTGGCTTGCAGGGTGACCATGTCGTGTACCACTTTGCAACCCCCTCCCATGTCTAGCTCCAAGCTGGGCCTGGAGCACAATAATGGCTCACATGTAGTAAGCCCTTGTAATGTGCCAGGGACAGTTGTAAGCATTTTCCATGTGGTGATGCACTCAATCCTCATAATCTTACATGGCGGCTGCTTTTATTAGACTCATTTTACAAATGTGGAGCAATGCTAAGCAGCGCACTGGGGGTCCCAACTGACTAAGAGGGAGGGGTCTACCAGGACTTCCCTGTTTCTCCCATGCCCCCCTGGTGTGGGAGTTCCCTTTAGCCTGGGGCTTTGAGGGGTGCAGGCAGCCACCCCCGGGCTTGCGCAGTAAGCTCCTCTAACCCCAGGCCCAGCAGGCAGGTAGGAGGGGCCTCTTCTCACCTCTCTGTCTTGAGGCCCTTGATTTATAGCAGCAGAAACTCGGGGTGTGCCTCCTTCTCCGCGCCCCCGGAGTAGGAAGGTTTCTGTCATTTCTCTTTTGTGTGTGACAGCTCCCTCTCCCTCCCTGCGTCTCAGAGCACAACGCCCCAAACCCTGGGGCCCAGTGGGATAGGAGACGCTGTGCCCTGGATGAAGCCCATGGCCTGCCTGGGTGTAGCCTGTCTGCTGCTCCCACTCAGTGTCTGAGAACATAGGCCTGAGCTACGGGGCAGCAGGCAGGCATTTCCTGGGACATGATGTGCCCATCTACCAGCCTGCCACAGCGCCTGAAATTGTGCCGTACAGCTTTTCTCTGCTGTGTAAGGATTGCCTTCTTGCATTATGGTAAAGCGTTGTGGCCTAGTGGAAAGCATATGGCTTTGGTATTAGACAAACCTGGGATTAAACCCAGGTTGTGTCATGGACTAGCTGGGTATGCTCTTGGGCATTTTCTTATCGTCTCCCAAGTCTCAGGTTTCTTTGTCTATAAAATGAAGCAAATGACCCTTACCTGGTAGTGTTCTTGTAAGATAGCAGAGTTAATGAATGGAGAATGTTCATATTTATTCAGTAAATGGCAGCTGACGTTGTTCCCATGTCCCTAACAGACTCACCAAGAAAGGGGGGCATTGGGGTACCAAGAGACCAATCAGGGCCCACTTCATCTCTGGGACTCTTTCCCGAGCCTGACCATCCCCATCTTCTTACCTACCACTGTCCTTCTTCACATGCTCTGCTCTAAAACAAACCCAACCAGAACTTTCCCACCTCTGTGCTTTGCTAACAAAAAATAAGAGTATGTTCTATACCAGTGATTCTTAAAGTGTGGTCCCCAGGCTACCAGCATCAGCATTACCAAGGAACTTGTTAGAAATGCAAATTCTCAGCCACCCCTTGACCCACTGAATCAGAAGCTCTAAGTGTGGGTCCCAGAAATCTGTGTTTTAACAAGCCTTCCAGGTAATTCTGATGCAGCTAACGCTTGAGAACACTATTCTGTATTACAGCATCATCCTGCTCGAGCTTGAATCCCCTCTGGGTCAGGAGTTTGAGCAACTCCCTTAACTTCCCTGCGCTTCCGTTTCCTCACCTATAAAATAGGAATAATAATAATACCTGCCTTTCAGGGTTGTTGTAAGAATTCAATGAGAGCATCCATGAAAAGTGCTTAGCTCCGTGACTAAAACATGGTCAATGCTCAAAAAAAGATTAGATATTATTTTTATCATCATCATTATTATTCTGTAGTGTGCCCCTATCCCTGTTCCCCTCCCCCCACATTTCTGAGTGATATCATCCCCCGTGCTGAGTGTCCCCAACTAAAATGTCTGCCTCCTCCAAAAAGCCTTTTCTGATCTCTTTCCTTCGAGCCCATGTGGCTTGATTCTGGGGCCACATGCCTTGTGTTTGTCCAAGATTGTAGCACAGTGTCCAGGCTGTGCTTGCCTCTGGGTGCCCTGCTGCATTCTACCCCAGTTCCTTGCACCTGCGCAGCTGCTTGGGCACTCTACAATACACGTGGGCCTGATGTGCCATTTCCCCAGACCAGGTTCCTCCTACAGGCTTCCTCGCCCTGAGGCTCTGTCCTTCGGCAGACTCTGTCCCTCTCTCGGTGACTCGAAAGGCTCTCCATCCTTTGGTGCCTTTCCCCGTCTTGAGGAGAACTTCTTCAGAAGCACTCATGCCGGGTTATCTGGAAATTTTGTTCTTTGCAGCTTGCCATTGTGATTTCCCATCCTTGTTGCTCTCATTGCTCTTGAATAAGTATCTGCTATGGAAACATTTTACTGGATCCTCTCAGGACCCTTGCGAGATGGGGATCATGGTCCTCATGTTGTAGATGAGGGAACTGAGGCCCCAGGTCTACTGCTTCTACAGGGTGCCGTTAGGTATTGGCCCAAAGCATCGAGCTCCAGCGTTTAGGTGCGTTCTATTGACCCCAAGCTGCCCGAGGTGGTAGAAGAAGCACGTTCAAGTGTGTAAAGCTGGTCACTCTCTGAATTCATGGACGTCGGCCTGAGGTTGACCATTCATGGACCTTTTTCTGAGATAGCCTAAAATTGACCATCCTCGCTTGCCTTCCAGTTTCAGGTCTGTGCGGCTGCTAAAGAACGACCCAGTCAACTTCCAGAAGTTCTCCTACACTAACGAGGATGAGGCCTGGAAGACCTACCTGGAAAACCCCTTGACGGCCGCCACGAAGGCCATGATGAGAGTCAACGGGGATGACGACAGCGTTGCGGCCCTGAGCTTCCTCTATGATTACTACATGGTATGCTCACCGCCTCCAGGCACGCCCCCTCCGACTGAATGTGTCTTTGCTTTCAGGCCTCATAGCTCAGCAGCTCACCAGGACCACTCCCAGCCCATCACCATGTTCCTTCTCACCTCTGGGCCTTTGCATATGCTGTTCCCTCTGCCTGGCACCCTCCCCTTTC